TTTATTCATTAAACGTTCATGACATTAATTTAATGCTGATTCTAAGGATAAATTTATGTCGGTAATAGTAATACTGCTTTATGTCACCATTCATACTTGCGATAAGTTTGTATTTAATTATCAAAATTTTTCGGTAGTAAAGTGTCTCACTACATGGATATATATTTTGAGGGAATTTACTAAGCTTAAACGTCATAGCAAGACACAATTAGTTTTTCGTCTGGGCTCTGAACTGTCCATTTTATTTTCAGTAGAAATAGGAACCCGAGGCAAGGACAGGAAATTTCATCTAATGTTATATTTATGAAAATTTCGAAGCTGTAAACATTTATACATCCTTTTTTGGAGCTATACTTCATGTACCATATTTAATTTTATCCTATAAGGGTTATCCACTTCAGAAAACTATTTAGCAGATTGCCCTCAGAGGACGGACAATCTAAAGTCTTATATTTTAAACTCTGAGAGCTATTCTACGGCCCAGCTTGCCTCATCTATAAATAACTCTAACTAAACTCAGAAAGAATATTGCTGCCATTTATTAAACCACTGGAAGTAGGATACTCTTGAGGAATCTTCAACTTGCTAATAACTGCATATGAGTATCCAGAATTTTATTTGATCACTTACATAAGAATGTCTCAACCTAGCAATTAACTAAAGCGAAAAACGATTTATGATAGAAATTATACCGTAATATCATTGAGTAAACGCATTATAGGTGTAAATATATGTGCGTATAGTGACTTCTATTTAAAATATCGGATGACTATTGGAATTCAGAATCTGGTTGGTTTAGGCCATCAGATTTAAATTGTTTGCGGCAAGCTTTTATTCGTTGGGATATATGACGGTCGAGTAAATGAGTGTGATATAGTAGTTGTTATCATTATTCCTCTCTGTGGGCCAAGTCCACGTTAATATACCGAGAGGATAGCTGAAAGCTACTTACTCCTACTATATGCGATTGCGGTCCATTGGGAAAGCTTCACCGTTGCATGCAGCAATATTCGCTTACGCTTATTTGAGTATTTTTACGCTGCCATTCCCGAATAACTCAGAATAACCACAAATCGCATCATGTTTATAATAGGATATTGGCCTAGAATACCCTAGCGATATGTATTGGGATAGTTGACTGGGGTGTTTGATAAACCACCAGGATCCAGATCCCATTCCCCACAGTAATTAGGATAGCAATTTTCATGCCGTCTGCGCATCGAACCGTAATTTTTTCGGGACTTGTTTGCGGGAAAACTTTCTAATCGAGATAACCGACTGACAAGCCATACGGGTTGTCCTCACACCCTACCTGTTATGATTGTATAGCAAATATTTATCCATTTGCAGCCATGTCCTTTTATTTTGACAATACCATGAGTGAATGTGCTGATTTTGAATGTTCCAACTTAAAAAAAATGAACCCTAACCAGAGAACACGCATATAGAACAAGATAATTACAGAAAGCGATCAGCAATCTGTTATCAGGTTACTATCATTACTATTAATATGAGCAGTAGGTCCAATCTAATCATCATCTATCATCGGCTCAATCCTAAAAAAGATAAAAATAGAGAAGAATTACCTTGTCATTACCTGAAGACCAAATGGGAAAAATGAAAAAAGATGTACTGACTATAAGTTGAAAGATCAACAAAGCTGTAGCAAAAGAAAAGTAATTAAACAATGATGCTCCGTGCTGAAAGCATAAAATGTATTGTTTACAGTTGCACTTTACATAGCAGAGGTGTACATCGAAGTTAAAAGGATAGGCAGGAATTCTTGTGAAAATCATTCGAAGTAATGCAAGCGCATGAAATGAATAATTGCGGTTGACGAGGACTTAGTTTACAATCAAGGACATCTGGAATGGGCAAAGCGGCAATCCACACGAAATGAACCTATAAAGACATGTTTTAAAATAAATAATGGCCATCACACCACGAATCAAAATCATAGAAGGTATGTACACAATTTCAGTCTGCATGATTTCGGAGTTCTATACATCGGGCGCGGGAGAAGGTGAATCTAGGAAAAGGTTGAGTGCATTTTTAATACTCTGATATCATTTGCTTCCGGACCACCATGAAGCTTCCTTGGATCCTCTGCTGAAGAGACCAACGGACAATAGGGAAGAGGGAGTAGGATATGAAGGTCCAGAGTACCACCAGAGTGCAGTCTTGAGTCCACGTCTTTGAATGGACTTCAAGGCAAGTGATAAAGATGGCACCTTGGTATATGGCTTTTGAGGAGAGGTTTTTGGATGGTCATCGATAAGAGTAAAGCAAGAATCTCTAACCCGTGTTTGGCGATCAATGATCGCTGAGGCCCAACCACAGCCCTCAACGGCAAGATGCACGGCCATACGGCCACCCAGGAGAGTTCTATAACCACAACCACAAACTAATAGACCCTCAGAAATAATTCCGGGAGAGGAGTGCTTGTCAGTGCAATAATGAAATGTGGTTTTCCAGCCTCCACAAGCCTCATATGCCGTCAAATCTCTAGTTGTCTCTGGGATCTTAGCATAAGCGGGGGAAGTATAGGTGATATTTAGTACAGTATCAGCATTAGGCTGGTGTGCTGAGAATATCGATTTAGCATGAACACGCTGCCAATGGGCCACATTGGCGGCGGCGCAATGGGAGCTGTAGCCGCACCATGGACAGATTATTCTGGCAGCATAATGCCGCTGGTAAGGAAAACGAAGCAACTCGTCACATTCAAGGCATTTTAAAGTGATTTTAGGTCCGCAAAATCGAATTCGCTGAAATGAAGACTGTGAAGTTAAATCGTCATTAAAACCTGTAACCACAGCAAGGTCAGGGTTGTCTGGTAGAGAATCAATGCAAGATTGGAAATGTAGGTGTCTGCCTCCAGCATGGTGAAGATATTCGTGGATCTTACATTCACGCTTTTGCAAAAATTGAAGTCGGCAGGCGGTACATTGATGAGGGGCGTTTTCAGCCAGATGTTGTTGTAAATGGTTATAGAACGGCGCTGATGAGAAAACGTTTATGTCCGGTAAGGCGCGAGCGATGTCCGAGATGGACGAGTCCGCACGAGGAAGGGAAAAATGTCTGAGACAGAATGGACAAAAGATCTGATTGGTGCAATTGTGAAATGCAAGAAAATGAAGCATAAGATGAGAATAGATAGAGGAACGAAAGGCGAAGCATATAGGACAGACATAAGGGGTGTCGCAAATAGGATGTTTATAACACAAATGAGCAGCTAAATCAACGAATGCATCGAATGATTTTTCACATATACAGCACACGCGACGATTTCCAGGTAAATGAAAAATATCTGTCCTCAATAATAATGTATTAGTGATACGTCGATGAAGATTTCGATGGGATCTAAGTTGTTCTGAGTTTGAGGGGATAGATAGACAGTCGAAACATGTCGAAAATGGTAACAAGCCACCAGAACTATGCTCATCCATCTGCAAATGTAGAATACAATGTTCAACCAACTGGCCGTTGTAGACATGCTGCTTACATTTTGAACAAACAACAAGACCGTGAGATAAATCCAGCAGAGATAACGATTTTTCTGCAGCGTCTGAGTCTTCTGAGCAGCCGAAGTAATACTTGGTCCAGGATACTTTTGAATCAGCAGTCAAAGTGTCCTGGTTAGTAAATCGTCTCCTTTTTGGAACTATAGACTCGGTTGGCTCGTCTCCGACAGATATTGCTACGCGCTTTTTTACGACAGATTTACGGGTTCGGTTGCGTGGTTTTGATAGGAAAGATGAACTAGGACATGCAGTTGCAGTTGTATCAGGGCACTGTTGTCCTTGAGCTCGTTTAGGCGGTTCCGGAATTGTAAAAATGTGTAACTTAGTTGAATTAAAAGTATTGGAGGCTGTTTCTGTACCAACTGGTACGTCATTTACAAAAGGAGCTTCATTTATTTCCGTTATATCATCTGATTTTGCATTCTCTAATTTATCTAAATTCATACCAGCAAAAGAAGGCTGGTTTTTATTTAAATTTCTAGTTTCGATAAGATTAATATGAGTTTTAACAGAAGAAACTTTGGCCTCATAACCGTTCTCGGAAGTTAAATCAATAAACTCATCAAATGAGTTTGGGTGACTGGGACTTGCGTGGTCCAACCTTTGATTTTCCAGTCCCATGTTGCATATGGCGGCTATTTGATGACACTGCTTATATTGATGGGCATCTATACCAATTCGGTCTGCTGACGAGGCAGCCATCGGAGAACATAGGAACATATCATTGGCCGGCCTCTTGTGTAAAATGTGCCAGGAAGTTTAATCTGTCATGACATGAGTAAAAGGAAAGAACAAGAACCATTAAACACTTCTTATTAGGGACAAGTTTATTAATCTATAAAGCCAGGATAATAATTAGACTAAAGGGCTTTAGCACATGATCTATAAATAAAAGGTTGTGAAATAAGATCTTAAGAATAAGATGACAATCATTATACGTTTCCCAGCTGATTAATATTAATAGCAATAATGGCACTGCAATTTTGGAGAGCAATACTACAAAATATACTCTGATCCTAAGTAAAGCAAAATGAATAATCTTAAGGAATAAAGCAAAAATAAGAAATATTTGGCACCAACCACTAAAATATATCAACGCTGAGCACCAACCTGTAATCCA